TCCTCATTTTCTGTGAGTCTCATATTCTCTAACGTAAAAACCACTCTTGTCTTCTTTTCCTATATTTTCAGGAAAGACCACAAGCTCCCCGAAGACAGACAGTGGCAGAGGCACATCACTCTCTGCTACCCCTTTGACCCTTACCACGCCCAGCACAACCACAGCCTCCAGGTCAACGGTGACCCCGATCCCCATTTTACCAGAGCAGGGTGAGTAACGCCCAGAAGACATTCCCTCTTTGCCTTCTACCCGAGCCAGACTTCAAGGTCGTGGCTGTGATTGCAAGACTGGATTTGACAGTTTAGGTCCTTCTGTGTTGTTGAGGGATCCAGTCCTTTGGGTTTCTACTCTGTCCTATCCAGGTCACGAATAAACCACCTCCCCCCCACCTTGTATTCCCTCTAGAGGGATGATGACTGAGTGTTTAGAACCACTAGGTTACAGTCTCTGCTCTCTGGGATCAGAGATTACAGGGCACAACACCAATGGGTGCTGAGGGCAATTTTGTGCATTGTATTGGGGTGGGAGATGGAGAGAGGGAAGTGAGCAAGGGATTGATCAACTGTTCTGTAGATGAAAGGCCAGGATACTAGGTACAGGCCTGTAAGCGATGTGGGAATAGGATCAAGGTGGACACGAGACTTCCGGATGGGAGCTGGGGGAGGGGGAGCACCTCAGATAGGTTGGATGGTCTGAGCAGCTAGAGTACAGCCGTGGGAGTGAAAAGATAGTCCTCGTGTTGAGTCGGGCAGGAGCTCCGAGCCTTTGGGATTGCCAGGATGTAACATGAGGGCCAGCTCGTTGGGGTTTCCGTCCCGCCCGGTACCCCAACAGCCGGCAAATCCCAAAGAGAAATTACACACAGGACTCCATAAGGTTATAAACTGATTGGCCCATTAGGTCAGGCTTCTTGTTAACTCTTATAACTTATGTTACCCCATTATCCTTATCTATGTTAGCACATGGCTCCGTACCTTTCTCAGCTGGGCAGGTTACATGCTGCCTCTTCAGTGGTCTGCACAGGAATGACAGAGGAACCTCTCTGCTTCCCAGAATTCTCCTGTTCTCATTGCATCACCTCTACTTCCTGTCTGGTTTTCCCACCTATACTGCCTGCCTGGCCAATCAGCGTTTTATTAAAATATGATTGACAGAATACAGATAATTCTCCTGCACCACCGGGAGTAAAGGTGAATAGTGGTGGGGGTCTGAGGACTCTAAGGAGTCTGGTGTGTGCAAAAACCTGTGGGTAAGGCAACCAGGAAGGATCTAGATTTGCATAGTCATGGCTGGTATGGATAAATTTGGGAGGGAAAGCAAAGGGTGAGCGAGGAAGCCGGGAGCTATGTAGACTCTGCGCTAAGCCAATCAAGACTGTGGCAGTGTCCTAATGAGTCGATGCTACAGTATAGAGTGAGGTCCCCTTGGAAAACACTTAGGATAAGGTCCCAAGCTGGAATCCAAGGACATAAGGGTGGCCTAGGGTAATTTTGGGGCTGGGAGGTTCTTCAGATTTATCTGGAGAAATACCATTTCAGGAAACAAGGGCCATTTTATGAAAAGGCATTTAAGCGAGTGGTCTTTGTGGTCTCATAGTTTCAGCTTTTAGCCCTTGGGCAGTTCTGACTTCTCCATCAGAGCGTATAGTTGAGACCCTCACGGCAAGGCCATTAAGTCAGGATGTTCTAAGCTGAGGAATGAGAAAGGTACCAGCCGAGAAATATACAAGGAGAATGTGCTAGATATGCATGGAGCAGCAAAGAGTCAGGGCCTAGGGGTGCTTTCATAAGAGGGCCGAGGTAAGCAGCAGATGAGGGAAAACTCCCTCGGGATCTTTCTGAACCTGAAGAAGGCAAAAGCCCGCAAGGGTGCTGTTCTCTCCTTTGTCCTGGCCTAGGCATTCCCCTCTTCCCCTACGGGACAAGCCCTGAAGTTGGAGACCACCAGTTGTTTGCCAGGACTGTGGATTTTACCTCACCCCTCTTCAAGATCCAGATTGGCTTCCCACTTGGCTCCTCTCTTCGGGATTCCTTCTACGTGAGTCTCCCGCTGAAGCCCTTGTTTTAAGTCTGTGGCCTGTGTTCTCTGGGTCCTGTTTCTCCTCCAGGTTTGGAGACGGCCCGTGACTGAGAGGAAGGGAGACTGGGAATCACCTTTGCTGCACAACACCTCCGTAGCTTCTTTTGTATCAATTTCTAGTTGGGGAAGGCTGAGTGAAGTCATGCCTCCCTGCCCGTGTGGGCAAAACCATCCTCTCCCTAGTAAGATGAGATCACAGTTATTTCATGAGTTTTTTGTTTTGCTTTGCTTTTGTTTTGTTTTTTGTTTTTTATCATGAGGAATAAGCTATGCTTGGAAACTTGATTGGTTTACTTCATTTTCATTTCTTGTGATTACTTCCTGGTTCCCTGGGAATAGTGATGGGCTCCACTTGCCCTCAGGGAGGGGAGTAGTTACACCCAACTGAGAGGTCAACACAGTACTGGGAGGAGGACATTGACTGCTTTGCCCTCATCTGCCTCCTCCCAAGCTTTAAGGGTGAGGAGCTTACCAAGAAGCTCTGCTCTGACAACAGCTGTCCACTGAAGCAGGACACCGTCCACTACTTTGGACTGATGTGAGACTGTCCTGGTAGGGATGAGTATTTATAAGGTTACTAGGTAACGAGTTCTCCTAGAAGGCGAGAAGTGGATAAGGGGACCATCAAGGTTGACGCCTCTCATCCTCTGCACAGATGGGCGCTCAGGAGGCACGCTTCTGAGGAGCTGGACTTAGATGAGGATAACTCTTCCGTCAACCCCCCCTAACCGAGAACCCTTGTGCTCAGTTCACAGATAACGGCCAGATCATTTTCCCAGAGTCAGACTACAGCATCTTCTCCTACCCCAACCCACCTCAAAGAGGCTTCACAGGAAGGGAAGGTGTGGCCATGGTGGCCCCATTCTGGGATGATGCTGACTTCTCTAGCTCCAGGGGAACCATATTCTACCAGGTGGGTCATTCCCAGCCTTGACAGTCAGGAGCTCCAGCATCCTGCCTGGAGAGATGAAGGGCACTGAAAGGGCATTGCATGACAGCCTAGGCTTGTGTGGGAAGCGACTGAAGCTTAAATACAGGGTAGGGAGGAAGCCAAGGAAGAATGCTAAGCAGACCCTGGAACACCCTACTCCAACCATGTGGAAGCCTGCAGGTGACAGGGATGGAGATGTAGAGGGGCTGTCTTAATGAGTCTGAGCCAAACAGACCCCCCTCTCTATTTCTGAATTAAATTAATAATTCCATCCTGTCAAAGTATGTAGCATCGGCTGTCACAGCAATTGTGCTTGTATACCTGCCATTGACAAGAAACTACTTAGGTTCCAAGGATGGAAAGGCATATACCCATCCTTTAGGAGTTACAAGCTAGACACAGGAATGTAAAATTTGACACACACGGCCATATCATCCAAGTCAGTTTGAGCTAAGAGATGCATCTGTTCAATTCTAGAAGGTTTAACTTTCTAAGGTAGGGACTCTCTAGCTCACATGCCCCAGATTTTCCTGCAGCCTAAATTTAAATTGATCTTAACGTCCAAAGAACTTGCAAAAATTCAGACTTGTGGGAAAGATGTACAAGCAGCCACGGGCACTGAAGTGAACAGCATCCCCAAGCAGGAAGCAGGGACCCCTTAGGGTTCTGGTTCTCAACATTCCTAGTGCTCCGGTCCTTTAATACAGTTCTTTATGCTGTGGTGACCCCCAATCACAACAACATTTTTGTTGGTACCTCATAACTGTAATTTCGCTAATGTTATGAATTGTAATGCAGATATCTGATATGTGACCCCTTTGAAAGGGTTGTTCAAACTCCACAGGGATTGAGACTCATAGGTTGAGAACCACTGCCTTATGGGAATTGAACGGGACTCTGAATTCTTTTCTCATGCCTACTTTCCGTTTTTAGGAATACAACACACTTCATGATGAAAACAACGGGCTCATCCGGAAGGTGGAGACTTTGATTCGTGAGTTCACAAGTGATTGGAGCTACAAAGCCAAGTGGACCTTGAAAGTCACCTGGTTCAACGTTCCTGCCTATCCTGCCCAGTGGAACTATGGGGTGAGTGGACCATGGGTGCTGGCTCCCTGTGAGCCTGGTGGGAGCCAGACATCCCAGTAGACTCATAGGGAGCCTCCCTGACTGGAGGAAAGACTGCTGGCTATAGCTACCCCATGAAAGCACGGTCTATGAGTACTCACGACGGGCCAGGCCTGCCACGTCAGAAACCTCGACTACATTTACAGGCAAGAATGTCTGTGGGCTGACAAGGTCACGTGACTTCAGCTCCCCTTTACTAGAGTGAAGTATCAGCGCACGGCACTCAGCAAACAGTTCACTGACTTCCTACCTGGGACAGGTCCTCTATACCACACACAGGACCTGGACTTACTTATCCCTGAGGGAGAGACAAGGAGGCCTTTAGTGGCTCTGCTGTCTCGTCTAACCTCTCAGGTTCCCATAGCTCTCTCTTCAAAACCGTCTTCTAATGGGATTGCAACCCAAAGCCCTTTATTTCCTCTCCCTGCAAAAAGAGTCACAAGGAAGGAGAACTGGCCACTCTAAGTGCTTTGACACTCAAGGTAACTGATGCTCTGATCACAGCAAAGTTGACTGCAAGTCCAGCCCAGGGACAGGTGACAGGCCTGTGTCTGGCAGGGGTGTGGGGGATCAGGGTGTGGGGCACCAGGGAGGAACCTCCAGACCTCTCATAGATGTCTCCATTTGTCTCTCGCCGACTTCCAGACCAACACCTACCAAGCCATCCTCTCCACAGATGGAAGCAGTTCCTATGCCCTGTTTCTCTACCAGAGTGGTGGGATGCGCTGGGATGTGGCCCAGGGTCTGAGCAACAGAGTCGTCATGGGCTTCTCCAGGTAGGACAGGATCGGCTGTCAGCACTGAACTGTGAGAGATAAGGGTTCCCTGCTCACACTCTCATCCAATCCTTGAAGATGCAGCTTCCTGGTGAAAATCACCCCCCCACACACACACATTCATCCTACCATCAAGTCTATCCCAGCGCCTGTGCAATGGAGCCTTTCAACCTTTGACCTTCCTGGTTTCCACTGACCTTAGCTGACTTCTCAGCTAATAGCGGCTCATTACTCCTATTATATCATATACTCTATTTCCTTATTTGTTTGTTTGTTTGTTTGTTTAACTTGTGGTCACAGCCACCCATGATAGCTGACCAGTATCCTATAAGATAAGACTGTTCATTGTTCTCTAGGTAAGAAAACTTAGGTTCAAACAGATGAGTAATTTGCTCCAAGTCAGAGTTTCAAAGTGACAAAGCGGGCATCTGAACACAGACATCCAAGTTTGGAATGTGTGATTCCTGGCATTCTACAGCTTAGCTGGAGAAGGAAGCGAGGTGAAAAGCCGTGGCTAGCTGTAGTGTGGGCTTCTGCACGGGAAGGAGCCGCAGTCTCTGAGGCAACAGCTCCCACCCCACTGATTGATTATGAGGCAATCAGTTGTGATGGCCATGCATCGTGTGTTTGCAGTAATTGTCACAGACGGTTTTCTGTTCCACCGAGGTATGTCCAGGCTGCCCTCCAAGGGCGTGGCTTGGACTGGTTTTAGGTGTGCAGTGAAGGAGGAAAGCGTGTAATTATCCAGGGAGCTGTCAATTTCACACCGTCTTCAGTGTACCCACCAGAGATGTCAGGCGTGAATGTGTCCCCCAGCCTGTATGGCAGTGGAGCACTTTCTGCGGGCATACTCCTACACTGGCACCATGGCTGTTGCTGCAGGTCCTCCTTCCATTCTGGATCCACACTGAAGGTGAAGGTGGCGGAACCTTGAATCTGGTCTCTCCACTCAGATCTGAGGAGGGATTTGCAAATGTCACGGCACTGAAGCTTTACAATGCTGTGAGGTGGTTGCAAACAACATCTCTGTCACCCAGATAGAAAAATCCTAAAGTCAGACATGTTCAATAACCATGACCACCAAGCTAGTGAGTGCCCGAGTCGACGGCTGACCGTGATTGCCTGGCTTCAGAGACTGGCTTTGAACCGTCTCTTGCAGTACGTTCTCAGAGAGCTTCAAGAGAAACAAAGGGAAATATGGCCTCAACTCTGTTGCTTTCACACCCGCTGTGTCCTGAGTGAGCCCACTGTCATTGATCAGATGTGGGGTGAAGCAGAGGCTCCCCATCCCCACCCATCCTCTCTTCCTCCTCAGCGCTGGGGCTTGTGACTTAATCTGGCTGCCCACCCGACTGAGCGTGGGCTACCAGCTGCTGACTGGGGGCTAGCCGGAGTAACTGACAAACTGAATGTGTGAGTGGCTTTCAGCTGAGAGCAAAGAGCCTGAGTGTGACACTTCTGAGTCTTTCCCTTTGCCTGCAGTGGAGATGGGTATTTTGAAAACAGCCCGCTGACATTCCGGCCAGCAATGGAGAAGTACCGTCCAGATCGATTCCTGAATTCCAAATTAGGTAAAAGTGCCACCCAACATGTGTGAGCTGGCCCCAGTTCTCTCTTGCCCTCTACTCTATAAGCCATGGCAGTCTTAGACTGCTGTCGCCTCTCTGCCACCCCAGAGAGCATCCTGCACAGGCCGACCACCTACAGGTACATCCACAGCTGACATCACCTAGGCAACGGCTTCTTTTCACACCCTCAGACCCTGTAAGTTCCCTTCCTTGGGAAAGCCAAACCCTGGACGTCTGTCAGTGGGCATTCAGGTTCTGGAGTGAGGACAAGGGTATTGCAGGCAGGGAATTAGGATGACCATCTAAATGTCCCATTCCAGAGCTGGAATGAAATCCCTAAGGAGATCGACCAGAAGGTGTTCCAAAAGGCTGACATTCACTTAATCAACATTTATCGAACACCTATTATATGCCAGGCAGCAGGTTAACAGACAGAAAAATGAAAGGAGAAGGTGAGAAAGGTCAACCATGCTGGCTCTCAACAAGCATTCGCTGTGGAAGAGACCCTAGTGTCCAGACGTTCTTTGTGACTTAGTGTAATAGAGAGAGGCTCAAAAGGGGAAGAAAGTCCAGCTTCCAAACTGTGATGGCGAAGAGGGCATGCCAGCACTGGGGAGAAGTCAGCCATGTAGATTCTTTTTTTTTTTTTTTTTTTTTTTTGAGACAGAGTTTCTTTGTGTTGCTTTGGAGTCTGTCCTGGAACTGGCTCTGTAGACCAGGCTGGCTTCAAATTCACAGAGATCTGCCTGCCTCTGCCTCTTGAGTACTGATATTAAAGGTGTGTGCCACCACTGCCCGGCACCATGTAGATCTTGAAGCCTGAGTTCAGGTCTGATTGATCTGGGACAAAGATGTTTGGCAATCAGAAATATGAGTGAAGGTCAAATGACAGGTGGGTGCCATCCCATGGAAGAGCTTCCCTGTGACATCAGTATTTCTTTGTCAAACACATCTGCCTATGATTTAGAGTGTCTCACGGTGTGTGTGTGTGTGTGTGTGTGTGTGTGTGTGTGTGTGTGTGTGTGTGTGTGCGTGCATGTATGAACAGGTCATTATAAACAATGTTATTCTTCTGAAAACATTCAGTTTCTTAATTCAGGTGGATATGGGTTGAAAATCTCATATACTACAGTATACTATGTTGGGGGCAGGGCTCTGGAATCTCCTCTCCCTGAAGAAGTGTGTGGTACGAAATGTCCAATGAATTGAAGGTTTAAACTTCACAACTCCATTGAGGATTTTTTCTAGTGACCTCCCCCTTCCCAAGATGGTATCTGGGCCCAAAAGTGGCTTCCACAGTTTCACGGTGTTAGAACAAGGCCCTTCTAGCATGCCAATTTCTCTGTGACTTCCAGATAGTCTCTGGGCAGGGACCTACCTCTGTCCTGGTTGCTTTGACCACTGAAAGGAAAGGAAGGGTACATTATGTCTGATGGCATGTCTCTAGAGGAGGAGGTGGTCATTTAGGAATTGGAAGGTGCAGCAGAGAGAAAAAGAGAGACAGAGAAGGGGAAGGGAAGGAGAATGAACAGCAGGCAAGAAAGAGGGAAGGCGGGCAGGTCAAATTGGATCGCAGTGTCTTCTCCCTGCCCAGCACTTGTCCCACAGTTTTGCCGTAAGGTCTAAGACTTGAAGTGTTTTTGGAGCTTCTGTTCAAGGTGGTTTGGAGATAAATCGTTGCCAGTCTGAATTGGGTCCCTTCCTAGGAGGAGCTGTCCAGAGAGGCAGGGCGTAGGATGGAGGATGCAGTCGGAGTTTGTGCGGAGCCAGAGCTGAAGCAGAGCTTGCAGGCTCTGCCCCCGCGGTAATCACCAATCTCCTTGTCCCCCAGGCATCCGGGGGCTGCAGGTCTACAGACTACACAAGGAGGTGAGGCCCAACTACCGGCTCAAGTGCCTGTGGTGGCTGGACAGCCAGCCTCAGTGGTCAGGCTGGAGCTGGGGCCGGAGCCAGCTTTCCTGCCCTTGCTCCTGGCAGCAGGGACGACGGGACTTGCGATTCTGGCGCATGAACACAGGTGATACCCCCCTCCTGCCCTTCACAAACCCCACCGACTGTCACCTCTGCTCACACCTGTTCCACCCTTTCCCAGACACCCTGAGCACCCCACCCCGCAGATGAACTCGCCCTGTTCATCTCCACTTACCGTGAGCTCCTTGGCTGATCTCATTGCAGGCTGGCGGTACGGCAGTGACAGGCAACTGTGCAGCTTCTCCTCTGGGCAAGGGGGCGTGTGCTGCAGCTATGGCCGCTGGGGAGAGTTTCGGGAAGGCTGGAGAATGCACAGTCCTTGGCAGTTTGGTATGTGTCTCCGTGGAGATCTCAACACATCTTAATAGGACAGAGACCTGAAATCATCTCCCCACAGAGACCTTCCGAGGGAAGACGTGGAGTTGAACAAGGCAGGGTAGCTTGCCGCTGCCCACCCTGGGGTCCGCTCTAGGCTCTTTATACCGTTGTCTATGTCCGCTCTTCCCCTGGCCCTCTGACAGCTTGTACTACCTGCCATGCTATGTAATAACCCCACATGCCTTCAAGGAGGACATGCAATGGCATTCTGTCACAGACTACTGCCAGTCATTGAGCATGGGAGGAAGTGAGCTGTGTCATGCCTGTCTCTTGCTACTGATACCACCATGCTCTACCAAAGCCGCCTGCTGGCTCTCTGGCACTCTGCCCTCTGACAGACTGTTCCTCTCCACAGAGCAGGAGCGGGAGGCACAGAAGTGGTGCTGCCAATGGAACGACAAGCCCGCCTTCTGTGCCCTGTACCGTCGCGTACGGCCCCGCCTTAGCTGTGCTGCGTACAGACCCCCGCGACCCGGTGAGCATCATGGTGGAGGTGGAGCATCCAGGAAGGGAGCCTGGGTTAGCAAGAGATCAGCTTCCTAGGGCAGAATTGTGACCACAGGGATGACGAGGCAAGCCTTGTGGGAACCTAACAGCAAACAGAAGGCTTTGTATGTGGCGTTGGCTTAGGGGCAAGAGCTGGGGTCAGAGACTACAAGCGTAAGAGGCCTTTGGGTCAGGTTCTGGATGCCAGGAGAATTTGCCTGAGTTTGAGTCCACCAAGACAGAACCCCTACCTGCTGGGCAGTTACGCTAACATGTAATGTCTTTTCTTTCAGCTTGGACATTTGGTGATCCCCACATCACCACTTTGGATAATGTCACTTACACCTTCAATGGGCTAGGGGACTTTCTGCTGGTCCAGGCCCAGGACACAAATTCCTCCTTCCGGCTGGAGGGCCGCACTGCCCAGACAGGCTCTGCTAAGGCCACTAACTTCATTGCCTTTGCGGCTCAGTACAACACCAGCAGCCTGGCTTCCCCAATCACAGTAAGTGAGGGGTTATCCAGGGTATCCTTGCTTTCCCTTCCCCAGGACCCCGCAGAGACAGACCATCAGCTGGACACCGGAGGAGGACGAGAATAAGGAAAAGAGGAGAGATTAGTTTTCTATTTTCTCACTGTTGTGTCCGGGTACCTGATAAGGAGCAGCTTAAGGAAGGAAGGGTGTGCTGGCTAGTTTTACGTCAACTTGACAAAGTGGCAACCGTCCGAGAGAAGGGAAGCTCAATTAAGAAAATGTCTCCATAAAACTGAGCTGCAGGCAAACCTGTAGGGCATTTTCTTTTTCTTTTTTCCTTTTTTGGTTTTTCTGAAACAGGGTTTCTCTGTTGCTTTGGAGCTTATCCTGGACATTTTCTTGATTAGTGACTGATGTGGGAGGGCCCAGTCCATGGTAGGTGGCACCATCCCTGGGCTGGTGGTTCTGGCTTCTATAAGAAAGCAGGCTGAGCAAGCCCTGGGAAGCAAGGCAGTGAGCAGCATCCCTCCACGGCCTCTGCATCAGCTCCTGCCTCCAGGTTCCTGCCCTGCTTGAGTTCCTGTCCTGACTTCCTTCAGTGATGAACAGTGATGTGGAAGTGTGAGCCAGATAAACCCTTCTCCCCAAGCTGCTTTGGTCATGGCTTTTCATCACAAAAATAGTAAAAGTAAAGCGTTTATTTTGTCTCCCAGTTTGGCGCTCAGTTAAAGAGTTCAGGAAACACACACATAGACACACCCAGACATGTGTTTCCATGGTGATCCTACAGCCTGGGACAAAGGGAGAGAGGACACAGCTATAGATGAGAGAGAAGAGTAAAACGTAGAGACGGCAGAATCACGATGGGTGCCGTCTCTTACTGGCTGTTCAACCTTGACAAAAGCTTACAGTGCCACTGTTTCCTCACAGCACAGTGGGGACAATAGGGCGGGGACAATGGTATTGTCTGCTCCACGGAGCTCCACGCATGCTCGCATGCTCGTTGGCATATCCTTATCGTTTGCCCTGTCCATCACCTACCTCTTTCACTGGCCTGGATTATAGCCTTGAATTGCTCTCCAGAGTCTTATTTCCAGGCCTCTGCCCTGCCTGCTCGTATTGGGCTCAGGCCTCCTTCAATTCCTTTCCAGGTTCAGTGGTTCCTAGAACCCAATGACACAGTTCGAGTTCTACACAATAACCAGACCGTGACCTTTAACACCAGCTACACGGATGAAGGTAGGCTCAGTAGCCGTCAGCACCCAGCCCCACCCCACATTCTTTGGTTCCAGCAGCCTCTCAGCCCCCTGGGAGTGGTGTGCTGGGGGATGCTACAACACCCGGCAAAACAGAATGTTTGCACTCTGCCCCTCTGTCCCTTAAACTGCTGCATTAGAAGGGTCTTCTTCATCCAGCCCGGACATTGAACTTTCCTCATTTCTTACCGCAGAAGGAAGTGTCTAGAGACTGGGCTGGGTGGCATGGGACCTTTAGTTGAGGCATGGTCAGGATTCCCAGTGCCCTCTGTGTCATGAGCCTTCGTTGCTGCTGAGTCGTTGGCCCAAGAGGCATGCTGGCTGAGGTGTCACTTGTCCCCCTATCTTCCAGACTTGCCAATGTTCAATACCACTGGCGTCCTCCTGACCCAAAGTGGCTCCCAGGTTTCAGCCAGCTTTGACGGAACAGTGACCATCTCCGTGATTGCTCTCTCCAACATCCTCCATGCTTCCTCCAGCCTCCCAGAGGAGTACCGCAACCACACGCAGGGACTCCTGGGTAAGAATGGGGCTCAGACCCTACACAGGCAGCTGTCTCGCCTGTGGGCCTTGGACTTCACTACCCAGGTTTTCCTCAGTGCCCTAGGGCTCAGAGGAGACTGCTTCACTCGCTTCACTCACTGTTTAGGCTAACTTCCTGTTTGTCCACAGTCTCTTCAAGGGAATCTGAAGGAGGCACTATGGGAAAGGTGGGGGCCCGCCCGGCTGCCCTCTCCCTCCCTCCACACCTACGTTTCCTTTTCTGGCCCTCATCTCCTCCTTCTTCCCGTTGTCCCCCACATCCTTCCTGCTTCTCCCTCTTTAAAGCACAAAGGTGCAGGGTGAGCATGTGGTCCTCTCTCACCTCCTGGGACCCTGGACGGGGACAGATGCAGCTGTCTTGTCAGAGGCACCCTGGAGAATGGGCACCACCTTCCTGTGGAGACGAACCTCCTATTCTTTCCCACAGGCGTCTGGAATGACAATCTGGAAGATGACTTCAGGATGCCCAATGGCTCCACCATCCCTGCCCACAGCTCTGAGGAGACCATTTTTCACTACGGAATGACATGTGAGTCTGGGGTCCTCAGGCCACTGGGGCAGGTCAATGAGGGAGCGGATGTACTGTCTCTATTGTGTTTGTGGGGGCCCTTAGCCACCCTTGGCAAGGTCCAAAGACGTTGCCACTGTCCCATGTTTATCCCTGCCTCCACTCCACCTGTATGTCCCTCCTGGGAAGTGGGAAAGGGAGTGGGTGACCTTCCCTCACTAAGGCAGGCCTTTCCAGACTCAGAAGCCAGAAGCCTTCTCATCCTTACCAGTTCCCATGCCTCATCCCCTCACCCATCGTGAGGACAAGGGGCAGGCACAACTAACGCATGGCTGGAGTCTCACACCATCATCTTAACGCCTGTGTTCCAGGGCAAATCAATGGGACAGGCCTGCTTGGGGTGAGAACAGACTCTCTGCCTTCCAACTTCACCCCCGTCTTCTTGTCCCAACTGTTGAACACCTCAAATGAAGACGTGACCTCTGGGTGCCACGGAGACCCACAGTGCAAGTTTGACGCCCTGGCCACAGGAAACGCAGCCATCGGACAAAATACCAACATGATATTTGAAGCATTCCAGCACGTGAATGGCACCCTCAGTAAGTCACGGGAGGCACCGAGGGGCCTTTCCGCAGACAGAAAGCCGGCGGGGACCCCATTTCATGACTCTCTTTCAAGTTCCGCATTTTTATTCCTTTAATGGATCAAAGCCTCCGACAGCTCCCAGCTCACTCAGGCCCTCTGACAGCCAACAGCCTTCCCTTCACTGCCCAATGCAGTCTGTCCCCTCCCTCAACCAGAAGCCCTTTCCTGACGCTCCCCTCTCCTCCCATCTCTTCTGCCCCAGGGGCTTCTTCTTTGGGCTCACGGGTAACTTTGCACGTGCCTCTCTCTTGCCTGCAAGGCTCTCTCCACAGACAGCCACAGGCATGTTCTCTCTCATTCTTCGAAACTGCTTGTTTAGCAAGGCCCTCTGGGCTGCCTTGTCTCTTATTTCTTCTCTATTCACACTTCTTTTCCTGATTATTTTCCTTAGTATTTATAACTACTCAGTGCATTCTATTATTTGTGATTCCCTTAGGTCTCTTTTTCCATCACTTGTCCATTGCTATAGAGACTAGTGCCATACCTATATCATGTGCTTGATAACTCTATTAATGGAATGAATTAATAAGCAATGCTAAGAAACAACATTGGGAGAGTTGGAAAATGGAATATCCATTTTCAGAACACCCTCACAGGTTTCAGTTCTTCCTGGGGTAAACACCAACCATCTATTCCGAAGGCCCAGCGTGGCATTCTGTTCAGGGAAGAAATGATCCAGTTTGAGGAAGAGATTGGAAAATGGAGTCTAATGTTTGCAGAGCAGAAAGACTGAGTCCTGCTCGGGAGGTGGGCCCCGGGCTTGGGAAGGGCTTGTAGGAAGAGTCATGGAGAAAGGGAGCAGAAAGGGAAGGCTGGAGAGGTTCCTGCGCATAGCTAGTTTCTGCCATGTCTCTGTTTCAGATCAGTACCCGCCCTCTATTCACTGCCCCCGCGAGATTCAAGCCTACAAGGAGCGGACGAAGATCATTAAGATCACCAGCGACTCTAAGGATGTCACATTCAGCCTCACCAATGAGTGTAGTGGCTTTAAACTCTCTGGTGAGAATCTTTGGCTGGCAACAGCATGGAGTAAGGGCTGAGAGACCAGAGTCAACTTGGGCTGTCTTGCATTTCTTCATTCTGCTCAGTAACCTGTCATCTTTCCATTTGAGTAACTAGGACCAACCAATGTTTTCCCTGCTTCAACCTCCTTTCCCCATCTTGTGTGTCTCTCTCCTTCTCCCACTCCCATTCCCAGCTCAAGCTGGCCTGAAACTTCCTCTGTAACCCAGACAACAAACAAAAAAATTCCCTGAACAGTGTGATGACCGGTTTTCAATGTCTACTTGCCATAACCTGAAATTACCTGAAAAGGGAGTCTCAATGGAGGAATTATCTAGATCAGCCTGGTCTGTGGGCATGTTTGTTGGGAGGGCTGTTGTCTTGATTGTCAATCATGGTGAGACAAACCACCGTGAATATGGGAGGCACCATTTTGTGGGCAGAGCCTTGAACTGTTTAAGAATGAAGCAAACTGGCTGAACTGAAGCCACCAAGCAAATAGCAGGCATCACGGGTGCATCCGTTTTTCTCTGCTCTTGACTGGGTGTGACGATTAGCTAACCTCCCCTTCGCGGTGGACTCTAACCTGGAGTCGTAAGGCAAATACAGCTTCCTCCCCTAAACTACTTTTGTTCCTGGTGTTTTAGGGCAGCATCAGAAATAAAACTAGAACAAGAACAAATCACCACATCTGACCTGAGAAACAGCATTTCTTTTGAAAATACTTTTTTTGTTAATTTTAATTTTGTTCCTGTGTGTGTAGGGGTATGTGCACAAGGGTTCAGGTGCTGGAACCTGCCAGAGGAGTTGGATCCCCTGGAGTTGGAGTTATAGGCAGTGTGAGCCGCCTGAAGTGGATGCTGGGACTCGAACTCTGGTCCTCTCATGCAGCTGTGTGTGCTCTGAATCCTGGAGCCATCTCTCCAGGTCCTGAGAAACAGACTTTCTTAATATCGGTGCTTATAGCTGGCTATAGTGGCTCAAGACTGTCATCTTAGAGGAAGGAGGATTGCCATGAGATCAAGACCAGTCTGGGAATCAGAATGACACATGGTCCCAAGCTAAAAAAGATAGCTAGAGTTCAAATAGGTGGTTCCCTCCCCCAAGTGAGTAGCAGTAAGGGGTTTAGATAGACGGAACTAAATAGATAAACTTGCTCTGGGCACACAGAACTAATGTAAAGGTCATTTTACTTCCATCTAATAAAATACTTGTTTTTGTTTTGTTTTTTTTTGAGACAAGAGTCTCACTATCTGACTCTGGCTGTCCTAGAACTGACTGTGTAGAACAGCCTAGCCTTGAATTTACAGAGATGTGCCTGCCTCTGCCCCTTGGGATTATAAACTACCATGCCCAGTTATATGTATCATTTTTAACCATCATGGAACATTTACCAGATCATTAGAATGATCAAGTATGACCATTAAAAATACTAGTTTAACTTGGCAGTGTTAGTGAACACCTTTAATCCCAGAACTGAGAGACAGAGGCAGGCGGCTCTCCAAGTTCAAGGCCAGCCTTGTTTACAGAGTGAGTTCCGGGACAGCTGAGGCTTCACAGAGAGACCCTGTCTCCTTGAAAAATAATAATACTAATTTACAGGGTTGGCGAGAAGCTCAGCAGATGAGAGCACTTGCCACCAAGCCTGATAACCTAATTTTCATCCTGGGACCCATGTGGTGGAAGGAAAAAAACCAACTCTTGCAAGCTGAACTCTGACCTCCACATGAATGTTATGGCTTGCATACATGCTCCCACATGAAATAAAATAAATAAATCAAATAAGATCCATAAGTTTACAGCATTATCATAGCTACTAAAAGAACAATACACTGTGGAATAAGACTGAAAAATGTCAATACCTTTATTGGTACTTTTTGTTGTTTTCCCGGTGGTTAGCCAAGCTTATCCGCCTTTCTCTCTCCTCTGACTTCCCAGATCAGGGCCAGCACAGCACATCTTTCCCTCTTAGTGATGGTGTCTGAGAACCTAGGCCAGTAGCTGTGACTTGGTGGGCTAATGCAGCAGGGAGAGCGACTTTCTTTGCTAAACCAGAGTCATCAGGGACCTTCCTCTGGGCTCCAACCACCGATCTGCCTCATTTCGCTTTTCTGGGGTATAGAGGGGACACTTTGTCTACATCTCCTTTGTTCCATATGGCGCTGCCTTGGTCCACAATGGCATTACAAGGCTTTCTGCCAGCTTGGGCTCCTCTCCCGGGAGGTGAGGGTGTGAAGTCAACTCCATCCATCCTTACTCTTTGTTCCCTCCAACCTGCTGCCTATTCCCTGTAGTCTGACGTCTGATAAGGTAGCGGTCAAGGCCTGGGAAGTCAGAGGAGAGGATGGTGAGAAGGGAGAAAAGAGGTGCTGGGAGACGGAGTCACTCCAGCCCGCGGTTTGGGAAGTGTTAAGCAGAAGCTGACACTTATGCTTGGTCCCAAGCATGACCCATCCCAGTACAGGCTCAGGCAGAGATGCGCTTAGAGGCCTCTTCATGCGAGTGGGAGGGGAGCAGCCTTCTCCTATTTCTACCTACACCCAGCACCCCAGCTCGGTCAGCAGGAGCCGCCTCCCTCCAGCTTAGAGCATGAATTCCAGCTGCAGGGAATTGCGTCTTTGCTCAAAAGGATGCCTGATGGATGGCATTCAGGATTCGGGGAGAAGCAGGGTGTTCGACGCCAGCATGCATTGACCACAGAGCAGAGGACCTCCCTGCCATCAAGGTCTCTTTTTCTCTGGACAGATAATGGGAGTTTGCTGTGGACGCCAGCACTTCCAGAAGCATGTACCCTGGAGATTCTAGCAAGGGATGCTAGGACTCACTTGTCGTCCATATTCCAGCCCAAGACTGTGGCTTGCTTCTGCAATATGGAGAGCCAGTGTTTGTACAATGAGACCAGCAGGGAGGGCAATTCTTCCCTTGAGGTGAGTATTGGTTGGGGGGAGGGGGAGCAGATGGAGGGATGCTGTGAGCATGCTCTCCCCTGGGCCAGGTGCGTGTGGGGAGGGTGGAGCTGTGGTGGTCAGTAAGTAGCTCAGGGGCCCATCTTGTGGGAAGAGGAACTTTCATCACTGCTTAGAGCACCTTACACCCTGTCAGGCTTAGAAATGCTCACCTCAGCCTTTCGCATAGTCCCCCACCGCAGCACCGAGGTGCAGGATGGGAAGTTCTGTGCACTCTGGAGAGAGGTCCGTAGCCTCCCATGCAGCTGCCCCGCTTTCCTCCCCACCAGCATCTGCTGGGCTGGGCTCCGGCACCACAAACCCTCACAGGACATAAAAGAGAGTAACTCACCACAACCATCTCCTTGGGCTTGGGAAGAGAGGGTGGGGTGTTGTCTTACGACCTCCAGCTCCTCTGCTTGCTGAGGAAGCACCTCTTTTTCCGTTAGGAGAAAATTCTCTCTATCCACGTTTGTGGTCAAGTTTCATGACCCACGTCTGCAGCTCTTGCCCCATTTCTGCTTTGTCTGTCTGCTTGTTTCTCTTTCCTCTCTGTTTCTTCCCCTGTCTCACTCTATCAAGGATTCCAGGAAAGGAGGAAGAGTGTGAGACAGGAGAGGCTGAGAGCCTACTGCAGGGCCAGACAGGGAATGGTGTAGCTATGGACAGGGACTCCCAGTCCTGTCCTGTTCAAGAAGGGGTCTGCTGGAGGGGCTGAGACAAGCAGGCCTTCTCACGGTCGAAGTGTCAGGCAGAGACACTAGAAGTCCTTTAGCTTGTGGACACCAGCCCCCCTGCTGTTATTCAGGTGACCAACTGTAAGTGCGACGAGGGCTCCTTTGGCCGCTTCTGTGAACGCTCCAAGAACCTCTGTGAGGTTCCATGCTTCCCAAAGGTGGCCTGCATTCCTGGGAAGGGCTGTGAGGCCTGCCCTCCGAACATGACTGGAGATGGGCGGCATTGTGCAGGTGAGCTGGGAACAGGGTCCTGGCAAGAGGAGGTTGCCAGGTTCTGGGGCCAGGTGATAGGCCAAGGATCTGTGATGGACAAAAACAACCTGGTGTGTCTGTCTTTAGCAACGCGTCTTCAAATCCATCCCATGATAAGCTGTGGTAGGAGGGCTTAGAAAGGGATGGTGGATGGCGTGGGGCCGGAGGAGGGGATGCAGATGCTGAGGGTGGGGCTGAAGGAGAGCAGCTGTGAGACCCTGCTGTAGGAAACACGGGGAAAGACTGGTGGAGAAGAGTGGGGGGCCTGAGGTAAGTGGGACTCTCAGGTACCTGGGCATCCTCAGAGACACAAGGCTCAGGGGCTCTGTTTTTCCCAAGTCAGGACATCGGAAGTGTCGCCTTGGGACCCTAATGACAGAGGAACCTACATTCTCTTTTGAACTCTTTCCTGCCCATCTGCTCTTCTTCCTCTGAGTCACAGTAGCCACACAGCAGAGATGACGGTGCAGCCTCTCCAGCCCTAGAAGGCAGCCGAGTGGAGTCAGGAGACCCCTGTCTTTGACCAGAGTGGGTGGAGCCGGGAGACCGCCATGTGAGGGCAGAAGTAGACTGGGATCCTTCTCGCCAGTTTTCTGGGTCCCTCTCTGGCAAGGGTGCTCTGAGCTGCATGCCACATCCTCTGCAGAGGTGGGAGAAGACTTATCTGGGAGAAGGGAAAAGGTTACAGAGAAATGCTTGGACAAGGATGAGGGAAAGACGATTTAGGGTTCAGGGCGGCCCACGAGCACAGCACAGATTGGGCATGGGCGAAAACAAACACACAAAACCCCACGATGTCCTGGGGGTCAGGTTTCAATGGGCTCCTCATCGCCTTCAGCTGCCCAGTCCTAGTATGGCTGACTGTACTGCCCCCTTTACAGCTCTCGAAGACTCTTTAGTCTGCCAGAACCATTTCTGCCCTACGGATTACTGCTATAACCACGGCCACTGCTACATCTCTGAGGCTCCAGGCTGCCAGCCCACTTGCACCTGCCCCCCAGCCTTCATTGATTCCCGCTGCTTCCTGGCTGGGAACGACTTCACTCCCACCATCTCTAAAGGTATGACTATAACCTCCTGCCATCCCTACCAACCTCACACGTCTCTTCTGCCTGGCTGGGAATGTTGGGAAAACCAGTGTCTGAGGTCCAAGTTTCCCAAACACCCAGGTCGGAACTGAGTTTTCCTCCCGTGTGGTCAGTTTGGGGCAGGGGGAGCTAATGAGGGCTGAGAAGTCCCTGGGGTGATGATGGGTCCTGCTTCTCTCTTTCCAGAGCTTCCCTTGAGGACCATTGTGCTCTCGCTCAGGGAAAATGAAAATGCCTCCCAGGCTGACGTCAATGCCTCGGTCAGTGTTGTTTGTTGGGTTCCCAGTGGGAAGCAGATCTTGAAAGGAACCCATGGGGGCTGTACTATAACTTGTGCATCCTTCAACGACCTTAATTTCCCAAAGGAGGGGAACCTCTTGCCAGGGGCAGGCCAAGGGCCTAGGACATGGGGAAGCCTCAGGATTAGAGACCATAGCATGTATTAGAATTACCAGCTTGCCCTGAGAAGACTCTAGGTGACATGTCACCCCAGCCTGTCCTTCTGGGTGCCCCTCATGATTCACACTTTCTGGCTGATATACAGAAGAAGTCACCTCCACCCGACTTCCAAAGGGAACTGTGATAGCGTGTCCTTGCCGATAGCTCCACTAAGCAAAGTAGGCGGATTGGTGAATGGTGGAAACTCTAGACTCCTGTACGCAGGGACTCAAATCTCTGCCCTGCCGCTTCCTAGAGCAGGTGTAACAATTGGAGAAGCCTATTTATAGCAGCGCTGCGTATAAACGTGGACAGCGTAAAGAGTGCCTGCCATCAGGCCAGGCCAAGACTGAAAGAACAAAGCATATAAAACATTTAGAACCAAAACACGACAGGCATTCAACGTGATTATTACTCTTGGCACCCTGAGGCTCAACCTCAACCCGTCAGATGTGTTGACATCCGTCTGCTGCCCTTACTGCAGGCTCTTTGAAATAAACGGCTCCTGAGTCACCTTGGCATTCCTGGCACCGGGCCGTGCCGGGATCTTAGCTAAACAATTTGTGTTTGGTATATATGAGGGAAGAGGAAGGACTGGGATCGGAGGCCAAGCAGAGGCGTTTGTTTCAGAGGTTCCCCTGGCAGTGCTGGCGGGGGAAGCGCCTTATCCCTCACCCATTGAGTATTTATTAAACAAGGACCCAGGCCAGTCTCATGTGAGAAGAGATGGGCTCCAGGGGTCCTAGGCCTTGCATTCAAAGGTGGGTGGTGCCTCTCTGATTCTCATTCAGCCTGTCCTCCCATCCCCCCTCTCATTTTCCTCCACTGTAGGTGGCATACAGGCTAGGGACCCTGGACGTGCGGGCTTTTCTCTGGAACAGCCAAGTGGAGCTGACACGGATGTAAGTGAGGCTGTCCCTCCATGACGCCCTTCTCCCCTCCCCCGCTCCTCAAACCCTCACTGTTACCCCTCCCACACAGCTCTCCCTCAGCACAGCCCTCTGACAAGTCCATTCAACACTGGCGGGTCGTCTCCCACTTCCAGTACCGTCCCAGGGGGCCTGTCATCGATTTCCTGAACAACCAGCTGATAGACGCTGTGGTGGAGGTCTTCCTCCTCCAGCCTCGGAGTGGGCGGTCAAAGAGGAGCAACGGTGAAGCCAGGAGGAACGTCACCTTCTTCCCCATCTCCAGGGCAGACATCCACGATGTGACGGCCCGTGAGTCGCTTGCTCTGTCTTGGGGACAATATCGAGACAACCGGGAAAGAGGAGAGAAGTAACTAGGGGGGCCATCACAGACCCGAGGGCCACATCAAGCCCCAGTAGAAAGTATGTGGCCCTACATGCAGGTCTGCAGTTGAAGAGGCAGCAGGTTAAGTCAGCTCTGTGGTTTGCAAATCTCGGAGTGAAATTCAACACTTAGGAAAAGTCCCCATTACAAGGCTGGTTATTTGGAGAATATGAGGTTTGGCTAACTTCTGAGTGTGTGTTCGTCACTACTGGCATTTTCAGACCCTGCAAACTGTCACCCCCTTGGTGACAACCCTTAGGGCTGTACAGTAATTTATTTGCTAAGCGCCCCAACTCCGTTAAACACTGTTGATTGGATCCACTCTGCAGAACTGAGTACCCACAGATACAGGTATCTGTGCACTCAACCAATTGTTTCTCAGGATAAGCACCTGACATTTGACTTCTTAATGAAAAAGGTAGAAATTACCTCAACTGTTGGCTTGTTCTATATGCGTCTTTGTCCTGCCTACAGTGAACCTGAGTATGCTGAGCTATTACTTCCTGTGTGACGGCTACGAGGGCTACGAACTGGTCTACAGCCCCCAGAACGGTGTCACCTGTGTGTCCCCATGTAGTAAGGGCTACTGTCACAATGGAGGCCAATGCCAGCACCTACCAAATGGGCCTCAATGCAGGTGGGTAGGGGCCTGGGGCGGGAGAGGATAGTACTGGGGAACAAGCTGAATGGGGCACCCCAACAAGTCCAGGAAGGCACCGTCCTTCCCAATGCATGACCCTGGGGTGACTCCCTAGTCGCTGGGGGACAAGAGGCAGAGGACAGGGGAGGTGAGAGGAGGCCAGGTGCCACTCCTCCGCATGGAGACAAAAAAGACATGCATTGCTTCTGAAACTCAGGCTAGTCGCAGAAGGTACTCCAACCCTCCTGGAGATGAGAAAACCGCACTTTAGAGCAGCTAGGGCCCAAGGGGCGCCCAGGGGGCACCCAGGAAGTACTAGAGCCTCCTGAGGATGGATGCCCTCCAACCCTGTAGAAAGGAACCCGCTGTCTGGGTCTGGTCCCAGTCCTGCCCCTCTGTAAGAGCGCTCAGTCTGGGGACGCCCCTGAAGCTGGATCCTTAGGTTGTTAGCAAACTGAGCGTCTCCCCTGAGGACACGGGCTCTGTTCACTCTTGACCCACTTAGTCCAGGACTGGTCAAAGGAGTTGGACTGAGTGGAGGATGGAGCCCATCCTTTGGGAGAATAAGGGGATGGGTTGTGACTGTATGGGTACCCCACCCTTCTGGGCCATCCAGGTGGGGTGGAATGTGCTATGCACACCTCCCTTCTTTAGCTGGTGACCTCCCTTCTTAAGCTGGCCTTGGGCAGACTGGATCCTCCACCTGGGGATAGCCCCTGCCTTATCCTGGATAACAACCCTTGGTCCCCAGGAGAGGAAGCCCAAGCAGGCTATGCCTGCATCCTCTCTCACCACGCTTCTGTCTGTCCCCAGCTGTGCGTCCTTCACCATCTATACATCCTGGGGCGAACACTGTGAGCACCTAAGTGTGAAACTTGGAGCCTTCTTCGGGATCCTCTTCGGAGCCTTGGGAGCCCTCCTGCTGCTGGGGATCTTGGCATTTGCAGCCTTTCACTTCTGTGGCTCCTCCATGTACAAGTTCTCCTACCCTTTGGCCTCAGAATTGTGAAGCCTGGCTCCAGATGATACCTCAGGACCCACCCGTCGCTCCTCCTCTGATCTAGGGAGACTGGAAAGAGGCTACTGAACAAAGAGGACTTGCAATTCTTCAAGAATGAATAAAGAAATGAAGTCAGAATATATATACCCTGGCAGTAGACCAGAGGCGCAGGAAAAGGCCATGATGACCAAATACAGCGATGGGTGGGTTTTCACAAAGACATATCTGAAAGAAGGACATTGCCATATGTGAGTACATACACAAACACACACACATACACACAAACACACACACACAGAGTTAATGGGTGAGTGGTTCTACATTAACCAAAATGTTTTTACATATAAAACTGGCTTATTTCTCATTAAAATGTATTTACATAAAGTCTCTGTATTTTCATGTCTCCAAGCCATAGGTTCCATCCATCTCTTCTGGTGGCTGAAGGGCACAGTTCATTCTCCCAATCATCATAAACACAAATGTTAGGCAGGTGGTAAGGAGTCGGGCTGTGTGTCCCACCCTACCACAGTTCCCAGGTGCCCCGTGTTGGCTGCATCAGTGGCCACAGCGCTGGCTTGGTCCTTGTCTTACCCCACTCCTACACCTCAGCCAATGCTTTGGGGGCAGTTGTTCCCCAAAGATTCCTGCGCCAGAGCCTTGGTCCTTGGAGTGGCCATGTTGAAGTGGTAAACCTTCAAGAGACAAAGCCTAGTACAAGGTGGTTAGGTCGTGGAAATCACCCTCAGGAAGACGAGTATTTCTCAAGGGAATTCCAGTGCCCCTGGAAATGAGATTCTATTACATGGGGCTAGCCTGTGCCCTTGGCCTCTTTTGCATATAGTGGATAGGTCTCTTCTGTTCTGTTTCTCTACCATTTGACCTAGTCAAGGGGCCCTGACCTAAAGGTCAAACAGATGAGGTCAATCAACCTTAGACTTCAACTTCTAAAATTGTGAACTGTATCAGTAAGGACCACACATGCCTGTAACCAAACTTGGGAAGCAGAGGCAGGAGGATCACTGCAAGATCTGAACCAGCAGGGTTTATAGCAAGATCTTATCTCCCAAAGGAGGGCCGTTTGCTAATGGATGCAAAGCACCTGCACAGCTCAGACTATGTGCGCTACAAATACATATTATTCTTGAAAGGGGAGTTGTCAGATTTAGCAAATAAAAATCAGAGGATGCCTGGTTAAAATTAAATTTCTGACAAGCCACCAGCACAATTTATTTTGTAGTAGAAGGGTGCTCCAGGAAATATTTAGGACTTTCTTTTATTTATTTATTTTTAAATTGTTCGTCTGAAGGTGTGACATACTCGATCGATACTCTATGCCTTGTCTAGTAACTCTGGTCACATTGCTGAGGTACTGAGGCACAGAATGGGGCACTGACAGGGAAAGGAGGTTGTCCCCTGGGGACACCATGCTGCGTCTGGCAAAGAGCTACCTTCCAGAAAGACAGAGCTAGATCAAGGGCACTACTGCAAGTTTTCACGAGTTTACTCCTGGCTCTTTGGTTTGGATTCTGTCACTTCGGCACCTGGGATAAAGAGGACTGGCCTAGCTGAGAAGAGGAAGCAGGCACACTCCAGTCCCAGCTGGTTACAGGCAGCAGAGACATCCTGAGGGGCCACCGCAGGACAAAGAGTGCTATCTGGGACCCCAAATGCCAATGTCCTTGCCCATTCTTCTCTGCTCTAAAGGAACTTTCCAGAATCTCCTGTGGGCCCAATGTAAGGAGCTAGATGGCCAGGATGAAAGAAAGCAGACGGCTGACCTGATCCACAACTTCAAACTCTTGATACTAGAAAGTGATCCACTCACTTACGCACCCATGAGTGGACACTGCTTCACGCAGTGTGGTAGCCAGCCCTCTCTCAAGGGATGAAAGGAGAACTAGATGGACAGGCTTTGGGTGACCTTGCCAGGAAAGTGCCCCATTGTGTTGTCTCTTCATGCTTTAGGGTCTCAGAGGTCATACCCAGTCACAGGTAACAAGGCAATGGTCTTGTTTAGGTCTGCATATGCTTTCACCTTCAGGAAATGTGGGGTGGTGTGTGTGTGTGTGTGTGTGTGTGTGTGTGTGTGTGTGTGTGTGTG